AGAATGTGTTAAACAGTTCTCATAAAGGTTATAAAGCTCTTATTAATTTTCTGAAAAGAACAAATGTATATAATAAAATATAGGTAGAAGGATTTTTTAAATTTATTTTTTATTAGCATTACCCTTGATATCATCGCCTCACACTCCATCCCAGTAGGTGGCGGAATATGCACCAAAAGCTGGTTTGCCAACCATTAAACATCATAAGAAGAAGAAGAAGAAGAAGAAGAAGATGTTACGGGATATTTTTGTCTCCACAGAGACTTTGAGACTGCGGAAGCGAAGATAACGAGGTTTAGCAGGTAGTTTGAAAACTGTTTTAAACATATTCATCTTAGATTTTCCTCAATAATATGTTGCATCATTTTTTTTTTTACATTTCAGCATGTATAGTGATATGAGAAGTGTTGCCTTAATCTGTGCTGAGAGTATTCATGCAACATTTGACCCTGAATATAATCCTGACGTCGTCATAATCTATACTTAAAATTTTATAACCACAGCAAAATCTAAGAGCAAGTGAATGAATCGTATAATTGTGATTATATTATGACTTGTCTTATTTACACGTGTTGCATTAACAGCACCGATTCTGTGCTTAAAATTAGAATATTAGTAGTTTTATTAGGATGAATTTGGATGCACTTGAGATGCAGAGCAGGTTCATGAGAAAAACATGTGCTCGTATGTTTGACAGCTTGGAGAGGATGGAGGAAGATTTGTCACAGACTTTGAATTCTGTCAGTCTGGAGCAGAAAGACCGCAAGATGGACACTTTTGGGTAAATATCTCATCTTATTCTTTATTTAGCATATGCTTTCTTATTCTAAGTTATTGGTATTGTTTTTTTTACTATTGTTCAAGCCACAGTAGTAATCAAGAATCACCCCATTTGAGGTTTAAACCTACAACCATTTTCTGGATGGATTTCCATCATAACTTTTTAAGCACAGGTATTCTGTCATTGTCAGTGTGAAGTGACATGTGGCCAAGTATGGTGACCCATACTTGGAATTAGTGCTCTGCATTTAACCCATCCAAAGTGCACACACAGCAGTGAACACACAGACCCGGAGCAGTGGGCAGCCATTTTTGCTGCGGCGCCCGGGGAGCAGTTGGGGGTTCGGTGCCTTGCTCAAGGGCACCTCAGTCGTGGTATTGAAGGTGGGAGAGAGCGCTGTACATTCACTCCCCCCACCTACAATCCCTGCCGGTACGAGACTCGAACCCGCAACCTTTGGGTTACGAGTCCGACTCTCTAACCATTAGGCCACGACTTCAGCTATTGCTATACTTATCCATTCAGATTTTCTTCTCATGGAGCACGAATATGTGTTGTAATTTTGTCACAAGGTTGTCGATTAAAGACCTAAAGCGCTTTTTCTGTTTCAACATCCAGAATTCTAGAAGGTGAACAGTTTAGTCTCTTGCTTGCTGAAATGGTGAAGGCATGAAGCAGGGATAAGCACATTGGGATCAGCTTTCTAAACACACTTTGGTTTTACAACAGGTTTCTGTTCATGTGGGGGGTTTCGGTTGTGTATGGAGAACCAAACTGTTTTTACGGTTTCCTAACTATATAGTAAATATTATAAATAGTATTTCTATTCAAGATTAACAGGATGCAAGAATTTTTATTCATCACACACTATATTATATAATTTATTTTTAAAAGGTTTTGTGTGTATGTGTATATACTGTATGTATATGTGTGTGTGTCTGTGTGTATATAGTTTTTTTCACATACTATATAATTATATTCTATAAATATATATATATATATATACATATATATATATAGATAAACTAAATATATATTAGAAATGTTCCCTGTGAAACTAGCTGAAATAAAATAAGTTTAAGTTTTTTTATTATTTTAA